TTTCAGCTCCCCTTCCTAGAGGACGAGTGTCCTTCAGTGGCGAGGCAGAACGACATGACGGCCTCACAGGCCATGTCCAGGAGGGTACGGTGCCTGAGGCCTCTAGAGAGGGCCGGAGCAGTCTTCGACACCCTCAACGCCTGCCAGCACGACTGCTTCCCGGTGGTGGATGATGAGGGCGGGGACGTGTTGGTAGGGACTATCTTGAGGTGGGCAAGAGAGGATGAAGAAGGACGCAGGAAAGGCAGCTTTGATTTCAATTCATAAATTGATAAGTTTTGTCATCGTGCTTTTGGCTCGAAGGTGATGGAATTCGTTTTCGTCATGGTGCTTTGATTAAAGTGGCTAGGGGTCACTGTCGTCATGATTTGATTCGAAAGAGGCAGAGTTTTTTGTCAGCATACTTTGATTCAGTAGTGGCAGATGTTGTTGTGATCATGCTTGGATTATGTTATGTGGTAAATATTTTTGTTGTCGCCATGCGTTGATTCAAGACGGGCAATATTTTTGTAATCATGCGTTGATTCAAATTATGGCATTCTTTTCTGTCGTCATCATGCTGTTCGTTCTTGTCGTGTGAAGGATGCTATTTTTTGTCCCATAGGTTTTCGTCATGCATAGATTCTATTTTGTCAACTTGTGAAAAGGTTCTGTCAAAGGTTCCTTTCGAGCGTGGAGGTGTGGTTCAGCAACAAGGCATCACAGTGATTGTTGTGGTGAGGGACTGCCATCAGTCTTTTCGTTTTTTCACCGTGGTGGAAACCACACGTAGTTTGTGCCTCCGGAACGTAGCTTGTTTTACCAGTTCGCCTTCCGCCCTGTTTGATTGTTTTTTGTCGCCCAACCAACTGAAACCCTCTACAATCAAAACGAATTCAAACAAAAAACAAGATTATTTTTGTCAGCAACGGAAAAATAACTTGTGTTTTTTTTCACTCCGCAACAAAAAAAAATGCAACACTCCCACGTTTTTTTTCGCCTCGATTTGCTGCGTCATTTTGCAGAAAGTGCTTGATGCTCCTCTTGCACCAGAAGGCCTTCGGCCCGGTGGGAACCGAGCTAGGGGACGGGCAGCAGAACACCCGTAGTGCCGCCCGGCGGCAGCAGGGGAGGGGAGGGGGGTCAGCCAACGCTTATGCTAATGCCTCCTTGGGTATCTCGCCGCCTATATCGTGGGGGGCGATGGAGCGCATCTACCCTCGATACCCGGCGATCGAGTCGATAGACCTGTCCGATGCGGAGCGGAGGATGTGGATGGACCTTCGGCCGTATGTGAACACGGCCCCTTACGTCATCAACGGTGGGTTGGATGTTGTTGTTGATGTAGCTTCTTTTTCTGATGTTGGTCGCTGCGGAGGCGGTCTTGCCACTCGTTCCTCTTCCCTTGTCAACTTGCAACGATTCTGAAACGTGAGTTCGGTACTGCGCACTGCGGCGCCAACACCACGCAGTGCGCCGCCTGTACCCCCCCTTTGGAAAGAAATTGTTTTGGGCTGAACTCAGCGAAATGCCCGCATTGTAATGGTCACAAAGTCAGCACAAACACCTCTACCCCAACCGTCACACCTGGAAACGCAGTCATGGTGTCGAATCACATCTGACCTCTTTGATCCACCCCTCCCCCCCCCCCCCCCCCCCCCCCCCCCCCCCCCCNCCCCCCCCCCCCCCCCCCCCCGCTGTCCTCTGTTGCGAAATAATTCACGGACAAAATGGCTGGGTTGACCTCGAGGGCAGAGTCGGCGTCGTTGAATCGCACGTACCGGCTTTTCCGAACTCTGGGGCTCCGACATCTGTGCGTCGTCAACCACGACAACCAGGTCCGTTATTTTTGTTTGTTCGTTTGTTTGTTCGTGCGTGATTTTGCGACTCGTCGGCCGAGCCTTTTCTTGGCGACCCCGAACTTACCCGCTATCCGGCTACAGAAAGCGCCACCGCTCTAAGAACCTCTCACTTTGGGCTGAGGCTATTTTTTATTTTTTTATATGAGGCACCCCCGCGGCGACTGTTCTAGTGTAGCTTCTTCGCCGGGCACGTAAATTTTGATGTGGCCAAGTTGTTAGATTTTTTTGTTTTGGTACGCTCAAGTTCTTCACTGCGAAGTGGTGGCACGTTCTGTGCTAGAGATGGCGCAAGAACCTCGCATGGGAGCTCTTGCATCGGAGAAATGCGGTCGTTATCTTGTACTGTACCTGCCACTCTTGTGGTGTTACCGTAAGAGACGGAGAGATGAAGCCCCCCCCTTGACCGATTTCCAAAGCTCGATTGCTCCAGAATCAAGCGTTTGCTACCGCAAAAGAATTAGTGATGGTTCTGGAAAGTTCTCGTCGAGGGCTTTCCGTACACGTATCGGGCTCTTTCCGCGCCCCCTTGGTTGTGGAACAATCGAGCTTTGAAAGTCGGTCTAGGGGGGGTGCCATCTCTCCGTCTGTTACGGAATACCACGGTACGGTATAGAGCCGGTCGCCCCGGTGGTCTAGTTGGTATCCTCGAAACCTTCTAGAGGTCAGGTCAGGGGTTCGAATGCCGGCGTGAGCGAGCTCTTCTTGCAAAGTGAGTTTTTCTCTCGCTTCCGCTCCTGGCCTAGTGGATAACGCTAGTTCGTGTGTACACAGAGGGAAGAGAGTGCTGAACTCTTCTCGCATTAAAAATCGAAGGCAAAGTACCGCAGGAGGGGAGGGTAGATAGGGGCTCTTCTGAGTGACCACGGGTTGGAGTACACGGCACTAGTGCCGTGAGCGCTGATTTAAAGTGAAGACCAAAAAAAAAAACGGTACGGTACTGACAATCTTTGTGGTGGAGTAATCGAGCTTGGGATTTTTGGTCTTGTGGG